CTGGGAGATCCGTCCCTTGAATGTAGATTTTGTGCTTATTTCTGAAATGATTTATCTGGGAAAAGGTAAGAGCAAGGTTAAATTGTATCTACATGTAATTTACATATTAAATATCAGTATCTCAGATGAAAACTTCATCTCCGTTTCAACTGAGTGCCTTGTTGAAGTACAAGGTTTATTAAATTATAGATTTCCTGCTCTAATAAAGATAGCTTATCTTTAACAAACATCTTTAACAGCAGACATTTTAACTCATTAATTGGTCAGGAGGGACTAGAATAATTGAATTGTGGACTTGGAAAGTACGCGAAGGATCATCTAGTCCAGGGGTAGGCAACCTTGGCTCTTTTATGACTCGTGGACTTCAACTCCCAGAATTCCTGAGCCAGCCATGCTGAGGAGAAAGAGAGAGGTTTCCACGCTGAGCCATGCTGGCTCAGGAATTCTGGGAGTTGAAGTCCACAAGTCATAAAAGAGCCAAGGTTGCCTACCCCGGATCTAGTCCAACCCTCTGATATCAATAGAGGAGAATATTTGTAGCTCAGGATTGAAATGTGGGGACCTTGGTGCTTGCTGAACTTGGTTTTCTGGCAAATGTTTCATTACCAAACTGGTAACATCATCAGTCGCCAGTACTCCCTTTTTTGGTAATGAAGGTCTGAGAGAAAACAACCAAGCTCAGAGTTTCATTTAAGTTAGGGCTAAGCAATCAATATACTGCTTACTTATAATAATTACATTTTAATCTTATACATCACGGAGGTCCTCAAACCCAAAGTTTCAGGTTGACTTAAGCAAAGCAGGAGTGCAATCCAAATTGGCTCCATGCTTTGCTTGTTGTTTTGTCTGAGGAAAATTTTGGTGGAGGGCTGCATGCAATTTAGTAACCTACATACATTCGCCAATCTCTATATAATTTTGAATGTTACTCACTGTGTATGTGTGAGTGAGCCATATATTGATCATAAATTAAAAAGTAGTCATAACCTCACAGGTCAATCAGGGCTCTCAAGTGGCTATTAAGGCCATCTTTGAAAATACTTAGGAGGCTACAATATAATAGATATTAAGAATTTTTTATAGCTTTTGTACCTCCATAACCCAAATCTTTTTAAGTGAAATATATCTCAATCTTTTTTTAAAAAAAAATCAAACTAAACCAACCAATACAGGTAGTCCTTGACTTACAACAGTTCATTTAGTGACTGTTCAAAGTTACAACGGCACTGAAAAAAGTGATTTATGACCATTTCTCACACTTATGACCTTTGTAGCATCCCCATGATCACGTGATCAAAATTCAGATGCTTGGCAAGTGGTTCATACTTATGATCTGTTGCTGTGTCCCAAGGTCATGTGATCACCTTTTGCAACTTTTTGACAAGCAAAATCAATGGCGGAAACCAGATTCTCTTAACCGGGTTATTAACTTATCAACTGCAGTGATTCGCTTAACAACGGTGGCAGGAAAGGTTGTAAAATGGGGCAAAACTCACTTAACACATGTCTCACTTAGCATGTCTCACTTAGCATGTCTCACTTAGAAACCTTGGGCTCAATTGTGGTCATGAGTCAAGGACTACCTGTATATTATTTTGAAAAAATAGCATGCCTCTTTCTTCATTCATTGATCATTTATTTTTAGAGAACATGCCAAAGAGAAGCAACTCACCTTTTGTTGTCTAACTTGTTTTAATTTCTCTGCTTTGGGTTCCTTTTTACCTTTGTTTTTTGGAATGTCAAGTTTTGCCTCCAGAGTGGACATCCATAATATACCATTATTTTCAGTACCAGGAGTTATAGCAACTGTTTCTGAAAGATACAAGAACATCATGATGTCAACCAGTGGTTCTCAGCCTGTGGTCCGTGGATCCCTGGGGGGCTGTGATGTTGTCGCAGGAGGTCCGCGAAGACTTAAAGAAATGTTATAATTTAAATGTTGAGTTAAGTCTTGGGGGTCCGTGGCCACAAAAGGTATTCAAAGGGGGTCCGTGGCGAAGAAAAGGTTGAGAACCACTGATCTAAACCTCAAACAAGAATAAAACTAATTTGTTGTAATGGCCACCATTTAAGATATTTTATAACAGCCTTTGCAACCTGGGCTGCTTCAAGTACATTGGACCACAACACACGTTACTTCAAAAGTAATGGGAACTGAATTTCATTTTATACACATTGTACATTTTATAAGATCCAATTTGAGTTGGTCACCAGGACTACAGGTTTAGTCTTTCGAGTTTTCAGACTCGTGCTTCAGCCCACCCTCAGAGAACTTCTCTCTAGCAGTGTGTGAGCTTTGGGGTGTTGTGTGTGTGGTTTTTATATGGTGCCTATTGTGTGTGGCTTTTTAGATGTTGATTGGGGTATTGATGGGTGGCTATTAAGTCATTGGCTGTTGTTTCCTTTTGTTGCCAAGCCCTAAGTACTTGATAAAACATATACCACATGTGTATGGGTATGCATGTGTAAGACCAATTTTGGGATGAATGGCCTAGGCCAGGGGTAGGCAACCTCGGCTCTTTTATGACTCCTGGACTTCAATTCCCAGAATTCCTGAGCCAGCCATGCTGAGGAAAAAGGGAGAGGTTTCCATGCTAAGCCATGCTGGCTCAGGAATTCTGGGAATTGAAGTCCACGAGTCATAAAAGAGCCAAGGTTGCCTACCCCTGGACTAGGTGATGGTTCTAGCTCCATGAAAATGTATAATCTATATGTTCCGGTCAAATTTTACATAGACATTTATATAAAATAGAACTGTAACCACTTTTCGTGCAAAGTAAAGGCCCGAGCCACGTAGGTCAAAACTGTAATAAAACAAAGTGGAAGATACCAAGAAACAACTACAACTTTCATGCAACTCAAAGAAAATCAACAATAATTTCATGTGTTTTAAGTTAATGGGTAGCCAGCCCTTCATTACCTTGGCCTTTTTTCTTTTTTTTCCTCCCTTTGGTACTTTGTCCATCTCCTTTTCTCTTCTTTGCAGCCTGTGTTTCCTGTGGCACGGCTACCTCTTCCAGGGGCAAATCAGACAGTTCCAATGTTTTGGTTTGAGCTTCATGGAGTTCATTTTCCTTTGTTTTCTTTCCAAAAAAATCAAGAGATCCAAAAATCTCTGATGTCCCAGTTGCTTCTTCTTTAGTTCTGAGTACCTGAAAATAAATAAAACCAGATAGTTTCTTCAGTGTAAAACAGGGGTCTTCAAACCTGGCCCTTTTATGATTTGTGGACTTCAACTCCCAGAATTCCTCAGCCAGACACGTTTGAAGACCCTTGGTGTAAAACTAACAGGAGTCCTTAATTGCACTTTCCACTTGTCTGCTATATTCCCAGAGAGAATTAAGGGCCAATAATATGCATAGGCAAAACAAAACAAAAATTAATAGCAATTTTTGATCAATTAGCACTGGCCTATTTTATCCCCCTTACAGGGTTATGTTGTATTTGCATGTGTCTGTTTGCCCTAGCTGGATTCTTTCACACATTTAAACTTACACTCATATTAACAAAATACAATTACTGTGTCACAAGACATGCTAACCCCAAACAAACTATTCATATAAATGAAACAATGCAGGAGTTGAAACACTTATTTTCCAAAACCTTTCCAGTCCAATCTAAAAGATGAAAGTCTAGCCACCCCAAGCTCTTTGGAGTTAAGAATTCCTATCAAGCAGCAGACTGGAAATTAAGCAATATATCTAAGGATTTATACAGGTAGTCCTCAACTTACAATAATTCATTTAGTGACTGTTCAAAGTTACAATAGCACTGAAAAAAGTGACTTATGACCGTTTTTCACACGTACAACCATTGCAGCATCCCCATGGTCCTGTGATCAAAATTTGGATGCTTGGCAACTGGCATGTATTTATGATGGTTGCAGTGTCCCGGGGTCACGTGATCATGTTTTGCGACCTTCTGAACAAAGTCAATGAGAAAATCAAATTCACTTAACAACCATGTTATTAACTTAACAATTGCAGTGATTCACGAAGAAAGGTCATAAAATAGAAACAAGAAAGGTCATAAAATGGAACAAAATTCACTTAAAAACTGCCTCGCTTAGCAACAGAAATATTGGGCTCAATTGTGTTCGCAAGTCGAGGGTTACCTTTATTACATTTTTCTCTCCCCTGAAAAACAGGGATGGCCAATAACAAAAAACCCAGCACTCCTGACAACGGCATATAGATGCAAATTAACATCCACACACATATAAATTATGAGTAATCCTCTAAAGTCTCTTCTGCATATCCAGTCTCTGCCTCAGACTAGCCCAGTGTTTCTCAGCCTTGGCAAGTTTAAGACAAGTGGGACTTCAACTCCCAGAATTCCCCAGCCAGCCATGCTGGCTGGGGAATTCTGGGAGTTGAAGTCCCACTTGTCTTAAACTTGCCAAGGTTGAGTAACACTGGACCAGCCTACTTCACAGAGTTGTTGGGAATATTTTAGAAACTTTATTTTTAAAAAAATAAATCCCATTTTGTTGCAAATACAAAACTTCCTCTTAGAAAAGATAGTTTTCAAATAATGATCATAGCAGCCAAAATGGTTTCTGAGGCGAGTGCGGTCCATTCATTTCGGACTCCACTCCAATCAATGGGCCGCAGGCGGAATTTTCACAGTTTTACCATCCCCTCAGCCTCCCTCGCTCAGCCATGCCATGGACGTCCGCCCAACGGCGAAGACGTGGCCTCCGTTCCTCACCCCGAAACGCTCCGCGTCTCGCCTGAAGCGCCTCACGTCGAATTTGGCTCCAGTTCCGAGTTTCCGGAAGAGCTCGTGGGCATCCATGCCGCTTGTCTTCCCCCTCCCGGCCTGCACCGCGCGGCTGCACTCGTGTTGCCCGGCAACCGGGAACTCGAAGGACCAATTGGAAGAGGAAGCGAGGCGGAAAACCAATCATAGAGAGGGTGGGAGAGAGAGTCACCCTTTCTAATAGGCTTCCGTCCTTCTTAGGCTTAGAGATAATTAAGGCGGCTTAAGACTTCCGGTTTTCATTGGAAGGTCTTAAACAAATATTTTGCCGTGTAATCCTATGCAAGCACGCACTTATGGATGGAATTTAATGGATTTATTCCCAATAAGAAAATATATAAGGTAGCGTTTCTCAATTTCAGCATCCTTAAAATGTGTGGACTTTTAACTCCCAGAATTCCCTAGTCACCCTATGGCTGGCT